ACTTGGAGTGAGAGCTGCAACTTATACTTATATCTGAGTTTCTCATGTTTGCTTGTTGTACTTTTGCTTTTGAAGTTGACTGTTCATGAACTCAAAATAACTCCCGGGAAACATCAAAGTGCTCCCACCCCTGCTGGCATGTCTTAAAACATTTTTACAGTTAACTTTTGTTCATCTTTGCTATATTTCATTTTTATATTGTTTATTTTTTTATCCACACAGAGGTCTGTTGTCGCAACATAAAGATGGTGTGGACAGCTATGTCTCCCTCATGCTGCTGCCAGATAAAAGCAAGGCCACTAAGAAAAAAACAGGAGTGAAGAAGAGAGACCTCAACCCAGAATTTAATGAAAGGTTGCACTACCTTTTTTCTCCTTTGTAGGTTTTGTTATCCCTAAAGATCTGACCTAGTGTTTTAATAATCTTTTTGTACTTTCTTAAAGGTTTGAGTATGATCTGCCTAAGGACGAGATAAGATTCAGACGCCTCAGTGTATCAGTGAAAAATAACTCCTCTTCATTCAGAAGCCGAGACGTCATTGGACAGGTCAGACTGAAATCATATTTGTGGCTCTTCCTGCATCTGTTACATGGCTTTAAATATACTGCCAAACAGCACACTGAGATTCGGTTGGGTAAAATGTACTCCAATCTCCTCACTGTGCCTTAGCTGGTAGCGTAAATTGCATTGATTCCATAAATGTGTTTTATCTTTTCACTCTGAAATGCTGTGAATACAGGCAGAAACTGTGTTCATGCAGATGCTGACATGACATTCCCATTCTTTAGGTGCAGCTCGAGTTGGCTGAGGTGAACCTCGTGTCTGGTGTCACAGAATGGTGAGCAGAAGAGATCTGGTTTCATCCAGACTGTATTTACATTTATTCAAATGCTCAAGCTTGATGGTCATTATTTCTGACCATTTTTATTGACCATCAGGAACTCTTACTATCATTCAATGACTGTTCCACCTCATCTTCCAGGTTCACTCTCAAGGATGAAGCTGAATAGAAATCGCTGCTTGCTGATGCCGTAGTACAGCGATGAAAACGTCATCATTCAAATCCTGCTGCTGCTAATCACACCGATGCCTTCTCCTCTGTACTTCTGCACACAGTGCCAGCATGGCAGCCTTACCTGTATCCACCCAGCTCACTGTGTTATAGCATCTAGTATAGAAGTGCACAGCTCTCGTATTCACATACAACCACATACATACAAGTCACCAAAGATAAGTAGAAAGAAGCAGCTAAGTTAAAAAAAAGGTGTAAGTAAGTTATGATTGAAAATTATATGAAGAAATTGAATTTAAAGACTGAACAGAGAAAGTGATGGATGAAGTGACCTGAAGGTGTCATGTTACATTTTATTGCTTTGTTTGCTCCTTGTTGCTGTGAGAGTGTTTTAAATCTTGTTTGAAGTGCAGCAACATTATAGCTTTTAGTTGATTTTCATGTATCACTCATGAATTTTAATGCCATTTCAGTATTTTAATCTTGTTTTTTTTTACCAGCTTAAGGTGGATTTTTTTATATTTCACTTTGCCACGCAGCTTTTGAGAGTGCCTTTGGAAATAGTTTTTGTATGGTTATTTTTTTACAGGTGAGGATGTGTTACACATATTTCCCCAGTTATGGTTTAATTTGTGTATATTTGCAAAGGTCATTGATCAGGTGGGAAAATGTTATTGAAAAGATGGCAACAAAAATAAACTGATTTTGCACAGCTCACATTTCTGCAGAACAAAAGACTGTTTCTGTATAAATTTGTTATCTTTTGTATTTTGCTCTTTTAATTTTTTTTATCGCTTTCTTATTGCTTGTTTGAGGCAGCTATCCTACTCATACAGTAGGTTTACTGCAGTTGTACTGTACATGAAAAACTCTGACTCTTCTAACTGAATCTAAAAAAACTTTTTTTTTTTTGCTTATTTTATTTCAGAATATAAAGAATGAAAGGATGTGTGTAAAGGTAGAAACAACCACATTCTCAGTTCATATAAAAAGTTGTGACAGTGTCAAAATCATCTACAGCAAATAGAAACAAATAGAATCATGAATTTTATTAATTCTATTTTGTAACCGTTTTATATTGTGTATATTTGTGTTACCATTTCTTTTATGGTTAGAAAATGTGTTACAGTTAGCATTGGGTGATCCAACTTTCCAACTGCAGACTATTTCAAGTAAAATTTAACAGCTTTATGACACCTAAAAGCAAGCAAAATTAGATGCATTACAGACAGTCGTGCTAATATGGAGGAACTACACAAGGAGCAATGAAGACTGGGGTAACAGAGAGAGCCACTCATACAGGATGTTTCCACACTGTGGAATTCAATGCTGGATATGATTTCTCTTCTTCCAATACTAAGAAATCAAGAGGATGTTTTTGCAGCTTTGGATAAACAAAAGAACAAGCTGGTCATTTTAACTCCATCAGAGCTGGCAAAACTCCAAAAGCTGGTGACTGTCCTTGAGCCATGCAGGTACATACAGTGGCTTTGGTCTGAGTGCCGTCAGTTGCCCATAGACATTGCCTGATAAATGCTAATGACTAAATAGAGTGCGCCTGTGTGTAATCTAATGTCAGTACAAATACAGCTGCTCTGTGACGGCCTCAGAGGTTGTCTAAGAGAATATTGGGAGCAACAACACCATGAAGTCCAAAGAACACACCAGACAGTTCAGGGATAAAGTTATTGAGAAATTTAAAGCAGGCTTAGGCTACAAAGAGTTCCCAAGCCTTGAACATCCCACGATTCAAGCGATCATTCAGAAATGGAAGGAGTATCTCACAACTGTAAACCTACCAAGACAAGGCCGTCCACCTAAACTCACAGGCACAAGGAGAGCACTGAACAGAAATGCAGCCAAGAGGCCCATGGTGACTCTGGA